CCGGATTTTCTCGAAAACTTATATTTTTATTTTCGCGATTTTTTGCTGAAATACTCTTCTATCCATCCTGAATGAATTTCAGGCCTCAAAAGTTGTTACACTCGCAGCTCCAAAGAATGCCGCGGCCAAACGGCCCAAAAACCCCTAAAATGACCGTAATCCTGGATTTTCTCAAAAACTTATACTTTTATTTTCGCGATTTTTTGCTGAAATACTCTTCTATCCATCCGGAATGAATTTCAGGGCTCAAAAGTTGTTACACTCGCAGCTCCAAAGAATGCCGCGGCCAAACGGCCCAAAAACCCCTAAAATGACCGTAATCCTGGATTTTCTCAAAAACTTATACTTTTATTTTCGCGATTTTTTGCTGAAATACTCTTCTATCCATCCGGAATGAATTTCAGGGCTCAAAAGTTGTTACACTCGCAGCTCCAAAGAATGCCGCGGCCAAACGGCCCAAAAACCCCTAAAATGACCGTAATCCTGGATTTTCTCAAAAACTTATACTTTTATTTTCGCGATTTTTTGCTGAAATACTCTTCTATCCATCCGGAATGAATTTCAGGGCTCAAAAGTTGTTACACTCGCAGCTCCAAAGAATGCCGCGGCCAAACAGCGAAAAAAGTGGGTACGGCTACCGTAATCTCCCACTATTTCAGGAATGGGTAGTATTACGATTCTGATTTTTGCCTTCCATGATGTATGCGCGTTTCTGACCTGGATAGCTTGTCTAAATTCGTCATTCCAATAAATTTGTTAGCGAAATTAACAAAAGTTAGAAACTACAGTAACCATCGTATAAAGCCTCAAATAAAGCCTCAAATATTTATTTTTTGACCTGAAAATATTTTTCTCATGCTGATCTATTAATATGTGAACCGTAGAGATTAATGGAAAAGTTTAAAAATTGATCGTCTCTATTTTGGTCCTACAGTAACCGAACATAGCAACTTTGAACGCTTATATCTCAAAAACTTATATTTTTATTTTTGATTTTTTTGTTTTATTTTACGGGAAGGGTGTCCAACTTTTATAATCCGGTTTGAAAACTTGTTACACTTGTTCCAATTTTTGACAGTAATCGATATGGTATCATGACGATTACGGTACTACCAAAAGACGAAAAGATACAAAAAAAGTTTCAATTAGAAAAATGTTGGCCATGTTCGAAAACATACAGACAAGAAGTTTAGGACCCGTAGGGCGATCACCTGGTCCACGACAACGGCCGCTTTATAAAACACAAAATGTTACAGTAATCCCGAAATAATGCAAATTTTGGGAAAACGTTTGACGCTTTTGATGTATGCCTTGTGGGTGTTCTATGAGCCAAATTTGAAGAAATTCGGTGATGGTCACCGCAACAATGTCCGGGCCATGCTTCACTTTGTAAAAAAGTCCGTTATAAAAGATGAAGTTTGACTTTGTTAGAAAGCTCCGAAAATAACCATTATTTTCTCTGTTTTCAACGAATAAGTAATTAAAGGTCCAGCAAAATCTAAATAAAATTAAACAACGAATTTGATTACTCCCTATCATGGTAATCGGGTTAAACCTTTTCGGAACGGGTCTCCGGGCGACTAGAAGACAGTGGAAAGCGCCGGACGGCTTTTCATTTTTGAAATGAACATGGTATTTTTTATATATGTAATGCGCTTTTGTGGAAATACCAGGCACAGCGACGTTTTAAAATTACTGATATTGAGTGTAAGCTTAAATTTTTTTTGGTCTGTCGGGAAAATAATGATCGCAATTCCGCAGCGCCGATCGCAAAGTGATAAGCAATTTGATTTGGCCGCAACATAATTCACTTTATGGGCGGCAATGCGATTTTTGATACGTCAGAGTGCTCATTATTTTACCGACAGACTGATATTATATCAAAGTCCATATAGAACGAGTACTTCTTGAGCTTTTCAAAAAATTTTTCAAAAATCTTTTTAGTCAAATTCATCGCTTATTTTGGACCTGCTCAATGCCAAAAAGCTACAAATGCCACCCAAATCCTGCCATTCAATTTTTACCCCCACTAGTTTACCGCTTCATTGCAACTTCCTTGCATATTATATGCTGCTCAACTTTTGACACCCTTGTATAGACCTCATTTTTAGGCCACAGAAAAATGCTCAGATTCGCGTGAACGGCATTTTTTTCTAATTTATGTAGAAAAAATTAGGCAAGGGCTTTTTGCAAGGAAATATTTTACATTTTTAAGTAGCCAAGTCGCTTCCGAAATCTGAGAAACGCCAAAAAAGGAAGTTCGGACTTTTCGAGTCTCTAACTCTTTTTGGTCTGGGGGTTTATTAGGGCTGGAGGGGTAAATTAAGCGGGGGTTTGTTTTTATTTTTACCCGGTTTTAGGTCGTCTGAGTGCTTGATAGATTCGCAGGAGATTAATGTAAATAAAAAGTGCAAATGATTCTATTTAAATTTCGAAGTTCGAGGAAGTCCTTTTTTGCCCATTACCCAATGTTTGGCGGTCAGATTTCCTGTAAAATTTTGCGTGCTTTTTCGGGGGATTTGTAGTATCTACCACCCTGAAATTTGCTTTTCTTGTGGCAAAGGCGGCTGAGTTTTTAACGATCTTTTTTTGAAGGCTTGTGAAATTAGGAGCCTGGAGGAAATGCATAGAGCTATAGGCTATAACGGGCTGTAACTCCGTGAATTTCTCTTGGAAAAATTGATTTTTCTGTATAAAAATTCCACACAAGGCTTCCGGCAGAATTCAGATTTTTGACGTAAAAAATCAAAAAAAAAGTAAAAAATGCTATCCCCCGAACTAGACTGTATTTTGTCCAATAATTTCACTCATATTTGGCCAACTCTCACTTTCCCAGAATTTGTATTCCCTTTTGTATTGACTGCCCAATCTCCCAAGCCCTTCAAACCCAATAAATAATCTAGTTTTCACCCCATAAATTGGCCGAACTTTCCATTCCATTTTTCATGGATTTTCATATTTTGACTCTCATTTCTCAACCCATTACTTTTCAACCCTTATGTTGGTCCAAAAACGGTCATAAATCGTGGCGGCACAGCACGCCCCACCTCCGTGGATGATTCATAATTTCCTTATTAGAGTGGGGCAGGTGTATTTTTGGGAGGGTGACACAACTACTAACACGGCTAGGTTTAGGTAGTAGTGCTTTGGGGGAATGTCATGTTGACCGGTGAGATTTCCAATTTTTAATTTTTTCGATGGTTGTTAGTTAGTCTGGGCTGGTACGTAGGAGAATGTGGGGTGAATTTATTGTCGTTTAGACTCAATTTTTTGTCTATTAGGAGACGTACTAACAGGGGAAGTACTCCAAGTGCGACGCTCAGAATTTTTATGAAACTTGGCACAAATTTAGAATAATTTTTTCTAAAATATATGCAAAAATCTTAGTTCGCGCTTTGCAGAAACAACCCAGATTTTTAAATCGAAAGTCGGCCAAAATTTAGGACTTTTTGCCGAATTTCGGCACGAAAAGTTTCATGCCTATTTCTACCGTAAAGGATAATGTTTCTACAAAAAATCAAATTTTTCCGCACAAAACTGCCAAAGTTATGGCCAAAAAGCGTTTTTCTCTCTGACCGCTCTCCACGTTTAGCGTGCTCTCTCGGCGGCAAAAATAGTTCGATATATCGGCGGCGCCCGCAAAGCGCGAGCTAAAACTTTCATTAATTGATATTTAATCCCTACCCGACGTGGGTGCAAAATTTAAAGAAAATCTGAGCGTCGCACTTGGAGTACTTCCCTTGTTAAATATTTTGTTTGGCTATTTTGAAATGTACTCCGCTTAGGTCTTATCGTTAATACAAGTTGGCATAGACTTAGATTTATTTTGTTTCTGCAAATAAAATCGTATTTCTTTTTGACTGGCTAGCAAGCTGCTTCCACCATCTACGACTTCTAGCGTCTTTTTTGTACCCAAAAATAATCCTGTCCGTGACCGTTTTCTCATGTTAAGAACCTAATAATTATTTTCCTTTCCTATAATTAGTCCACCCGTTCATTATGAGGCAGACGTCTAAGTGAATTTATTTTTAAAATTCAGCCTATTCCACCGGGCTGTTAGCATTTTCTAAAATTCGAAGTCTTGAGGACAACCGGGCAGTTAGATTACGTAATACTGAGTTTTTAATTGATAGGACATTAAAATTTTTCGTTACGATTTCTTGTAAAATTTTAGAAAAATTTTTTTTTTACCATTCGCAAAATTCTGGCCTTTTGCACTGTGCAGCAAAAATTTTTCGCCATTTCCTCATTTGCACTGTGCAAACCCCACCTTTTTTCTCTAATTACCCGCAGGCGTCGAATGGTCCGAATTGACACCCTTGTTTTTCAGCTCATAATGCTTTTAGGCGTTGAACTTTTGCGCAGAATTTTGCCTAATTTTAGCCAAAGTCCAGCGTTTTTTTTCTTTTTTTTTGTTTTCGGCCGAAATTTTTAATTTAACAATTCGGGCGATAAAGAACATGTTTTCATAGCTCATGCGGCCTTTTTATTACCCGTAATATAATCCATGGCCTCAGGGTACACATACCGCAAAAGGATGAAAGGGGCGAAAAGGGGGAGATGGTCCTGCAATTTGTCGAAAATTTCTGAGATTTTAAGGTTTTTTAAAGTAATTCTTCGTATTTTTGCTGCTCAATGTACTTATTGACATATCGCGCATGTGCCTACAGAGACCGATTGGTCACCTAATTACATCAAATATTAGTTCCTTTACCCTTTTCAAAGCTTGTTTGTCTGGCGGCTGCTTACATATTTATTGAAATAATTGAAATTATGTATTTCTAACCCACTTGAAATCATATACCTATTCCCATAGTGCGAAAAAAGTTAATAAATTACTTTTGCAACCCTCTCTTTTTCATAGATCTTTTGATTTTCAAAAGTAATTTTTGATGACTAAATTTATTTTTATAAATTCCGTTTCCGATGATTTCGACCTCCAAATGAGACGGTGTCAAATTGCCCGCCGGTCGGCTGCTGTTTTTAGTGGAATTCTAAATATGTCTTCTATTCAGATTCCCGGCGATTCATGTTCTTATTGGGATATTAGAGTAGGCAGGTTTGGTGTCAGTTGCCAACGTTTTCGGAAAGGAGAGTTCTAGTGGGTACGTGGAAAAAATATGATAGTTTAGGAGCTAAAGGGTGTTCTAGGAAGGAAAAACAAGATTTTTGGGTGTGGTGTCGATTGCACTGAGCATTTTTTGGTTTTTAGTTTTTTGTAGGGCAGGGAAAATTTTTCCGCATTGCGAAGATTTTGATTGGTAAAAATTGTGTTTTTGAAAAAAATGCAGGATTGTTCGCATTTTACATGTTGCCGAGTCGTAACTATGCTGGTTTTTTGGCTATAGGTTTAAGTTCTTCTAGAACTTCCAAAATTTCTTTTTTTTTGATACTCATAATTTTATATTGCCATAACATTTTTGAATAACGGGCCATTAGTCTTTTTACACCTTATACCACACGTTCTCTCAAAGTTTATGGCCGTAAACCTCGAAGATTTTCTTATTCTTAAAACCTCGTTTTTATTTTTTGGATTCATAATATTCTCTTGCACATCGATGAAATCCGTGAATGGCCTATGCGTATTTTACCCTCTTTTTTCTCCAGTTAGTTTACCCACCTTGATCCGACCGCACACATCTAATCGCAGCTCACGATTTCCTCGTATCTGGAGATTTTCGGCCGCTTTCCTTCGGCCGATGCGTCTCGTCGCACGGTCAGCACGGCCTCAGCGCCGTCCGCCATCCAGCTGGCTTCGATGATGGCACTCACGGCGACGGATTCGGCCACACGGCCCACGACGCCGTCGAGTCGAGGGCGGAGTCCGCCGAGGATGCGGAAGATCGGAATTGTTCAGGACTCAATTCCAACAGTACTGCCAATTAAGAAAGAAGAGGATGATCGGAAAGGCATGAGAGGTATGGTTGGGATTCTCTTAAGAGCAAAATAATGTTTTTTTACACATTGTTTTGGTCGAAATATGCAATTGTTGACTTTTTAACGAAATGTCACAAAAATTATTGGAAAATTTAATATCTTTAAATCCACTAAAAATAATGTCAAATTGCTTTCTAGAGGTTTTATAGGCGTAAAAGAGAAAGTTTACAGAATTTGACGAAAAGCCACAAAATTTATTGGAAATTTTGAAGTCTCGAAAAATCTTTGCACTTTCATTCTTAAACTTTAAAAAGCAATTTTCATGCATTTCTAAATGCCCCTCTAAGCCTTCCATTCTATTTTAGCCTTTTTGTTTGTCATCATTTTCTGATTTATGAACATTTCCCTTTTCCACCACACGCGCAGCTAATCTCTTCGTACTGTGCGCATACGATCGGAACATCAAAAACAAAACATTAGAAATCGCAGACGATAAATTTGGCCAATTTGCAGGCGGAATGCCCTCTATTTTCGGGCATTCGTCCCAATTTTTGGCACCAAATTGTTTTCAGGGAAAATGCAAATGAATGTCATGTCATATGTCTCCGGTCCCGTTCTCTCATAAATTGGTTTTTGGTCCTGGGGGTCGTTACGGGTAATGCAATGTCTAAGGGGGAGAAACGTTCATTGAGAGGGCAAAAATTGTTTTGAAAGCCTTGAAAATACGCATAATTTACTTGAGGTGCCGTTTTCATCACATATCTCGTTTTTCTCCAAATAAGGCTGGCTGAAAAGAAAGTCATAAAAAATTTAGTTTACACTTTGCAGGCACAGCCGAGATATTCAGGGGGCTTTGTCAACGAGAGAGATCGAAAAACTGGGATGGTGGTTTGAGAAAAAAGCATTTTTGGGCCGTCTTTGCAAAAAAAAACAATCAAAAAAATTTATTTTACTCAAAATGCTGATTAAAAGCAAGAGCCGGGCACATTTTGACAACTATTTGACAAACATTTCTTCAGTTTTTTTTGCAAATGGCAGGATAGACAACTGCCGCATCCCTTGAATATATAAATTCATAATTATTATGTTTTAGATTACTCTTTTTGCTCTCTAAACTTTGCTCTTTTACAATAATCTTTTTTCGTTTTTTCAACACCATTTTTTCCACATCCTCTCCATTTATTAAATTCTTCCGTCATTTACTGTAATGTAATTAAAATTTCGTATTGTTTTTGCACAGCTGTCGTAAAGCTGTTTTTTGTTCTCTTGGCTTCTTTGGGGTGAACAAGGGATAGTACTCAGTATTTTTTCCATTTCCTGTAAACATTGAAATGCAAACATTATTCACTGAATTGGAGGTTTGGAGAACCGTTGAAAATGTCAAACTGGTTGTAAAATGATTACAGAGAGGAGTTTTCTGCTTTTTACATTTAATTTTTGATGGTTTCACGTTGAATTTTAGCCGATTTTTAGTTTGAAAAATTTGGAAATTCAAATTTTATTCTCATTTTTGAACACTTCTTCTTTCTTTTAAGCTGGCTCAATTTCTGCTTTTTTTTACATTTTTGCGCCAACTTTCTCAGACCTTTCTTCCTTCTAATTAGCCGCAGGGCTAATTGGGTTTACAAACCGGAACATGAGAAACTTTTATTTGGGAGTTTCCAATTTATGAGCCGCAGCGGGGCCAAAATAAAGGACGGAAATGAAGAAATATTCGAGAAGTTTTTGTTGTTTTGCAGAATTCGCTATTTTTAGGGCTTTCATTAGTTGATTTATTTATCTTCGACGTCGTTGACAAGCAGCACTTTAAATGTGACGCTGGGTTTAGATGAAACTTGGCACAAGTTTGAAATATTGCATTCTTCGTACTCTGTAGTCAAAAGTCATCGTTAAATATCCTTGCTAAACTTGAAGAGCGCGGCCAAAAGTTTAATGTGTCCTACTTCTAATAGCTCTGTCAAAATGATGGTAAACTTGAGAGCAGGAGTTTTAGAGCAACTTGACTTACAAAGCTTTTTTTTCGTTTACGGCCTGTTTTTGTTCTACGCCAAATTACGTGCCCGCAAATGTTTGTAAACCACTTTTTTTTATAAAATTATAATACCCCTAACCTCTAAACCCTCTCCTCTCACCTCTTTCTCTCCCCGTTTGGAGCACGCAATTTCCCCTGGCCCCGAATATACCCCATATTACTCAACCCATTTCTGCACACTTATTATAATTATCAACTTGCTTTCCTCACCAATTTACGCGTGACATAGCCGTGTGAAATTGGAGAGGAAATCTCGGGGAATCGGATGCTTTCCGAAGAATCCTGCCAGTTAAAAGTAATGGCATTGCGCGACAGCCGGCATGAACATAATAGGCTTGTCAGTCGGCCAACTTGATGGGGTAACAATGTTGGGTCGAAAAAGTTGAGGGAATTCCTGGTCTTTGGGGCTGGGATATTGTTTTAGGCCATTCGAAGAGAGAGGGGTTTAGAGTTTTTGGAGTTTTTTGCCTGATGAAATACCGGCTGGTTTAATATGGCGGTTCGGGCGTTAGGGCTGTCAAAAGTTTTGAAATAGTTTCCATTTATATGTTTTGTGCGATTTAGAATTCCAAGTCACAATTTTATACTAATATTTGATAGTTTACACCTTTCCCAAATGCCATACAACTTATTGAGCGGCCCAGGCTGTTATTACTTTTTGAATTAAATTATTGTATTAAATTAGTGGCGCAGATCCTTGTAGTCATAACAGAGCGGACTAATTTTAGAATGACGGACATTTCTACGTCATAACGAAGAATTGGCTTCCTCTTGGTTTGTTCTTTTAAATATTTGCTCGTAACATTCCTCTCGATAAATATTGTGAGGGTTCTTTGCTGGGATGTCGAAAAAATTGTGGGTGAATTAGCGATGATAGTTCTCTTAATGAGGGTGGATATATTGTTTCTCTGCAAACTTGTTGAAACTGTTGCACAATTTTTATACTTATGTATTACTTATGAAAATTGATGATTTTTTCGTTGTCCCACCGAAATTTGCAAAGCCCGACCAAAAAATTTTTTCTGTTTTGGGTGGTTAACTTTTAAGAATTCATTTTTATTCAGTGATCGGTGAAAATGAAAGTAAATTTACGAGATTTGTGATTGGGCATATAGTCTTATATCTTTAGCTAACTTCCTATGCGATAAAAAAATGAAACATGATCCAACTTCTTGGACAGTTTTTAGCGACCTCTACGGCTATTCCGGACGTCTTATCTAGACGCTTTAACTTCACACGTAGACAAGTACAATGAATTCTTGAGAGAATAAAAGTTTTCGGTAAAAAGTGCAAAGTCTTTTATCCCGTGTTTTGAATTAGCGGGCCAAAGTGCACGTTTTAAAAAGCCCTGACGCTAAAATTGGGTAAGATTTTAGCGCCCTTTAAGGCTATTCCAGACGTCCGACAGGACGTTTTAATTTCACACGTACAGAAGTACAAGGAATTCTAGAGAGCATAAAAGCTTCAGAAAAAAGGGCAAAGTCTTTTATTCAATCTTTTCTATTAACGGGATAAACAGGACTGGACCGGGGCTAAGCAAATTTGAAATTCCCATTGTTAGCTCTAGTCTTACGCGTCCTGGCTTTTTGGGTAGGTGACGGTTAGGAGCCAGAAAAAAGTGATAGAAGGTGCCTACGATGTCTGTGAAAGCGATTGAAAGTTTGGCGGACGTTCGGCGAAGGCTTGGCGGAGGCCTACAATATGATCACTTTCTCTAATTTTAGCTATTGCTAACCCTAGCTTTCTTAGTCTTGAGTTTAGATTAGCATGGAAAATACCAAAGCTTACTCCAAAAACAAATATCTGTAAGTTTTATCCGGGTATTGCTGCAGTAAATACCTTAAAATACGTATTTTTTGTCATGGTTTGCATGGCCTTCCAATGCAAACCTTATGGCAAATTGAGGACCCCATAGTATTGCCGACCCGAAAAGTCGTAGCGGCCAGTCTTACCTATATCAATCTCAAAATTTCACCATTAATTTTCCTCTCTATCTTTTGTCCTCTAACCCACCAATAACTCCCAAAATTCACCTTGTTTTCCCAACTTCTTCTTCCTCCCACTCAGCGCACATCATCCTTAAACCCCCACCGGTATGGCCATAAAAACGATTGGCGTCGCTAATTCTTATGCACATAAATACATTCCAAATTCATATCACCGTTTTTACACGTCATGCGGCTGGCTGAAATTCAGTATGGCGAATGAGCTGGAAAGCGCGGGCACTGGATATATTCGGCGAAAATGTTTGCCTTGCGCTATTTTTGTAAAAATTATTCCGCGTAGTTTGCAAAGGTTTCAAGTTTATTGTGATCGTCATTTTGTTGTAGTGTTGTGAGGACAATCTGGGAGAGATTGAATGGCGCATTGAATTTCATTTTTTTGAGGGCGAAATATCTATATGGTTGTGGCAGTATGGGGTATTATATAATAGTTGTGGGGATTAGATTTTAAAATACTTTTGTTTTTGCGTGTTTATCTCATAGTCAGAGTTTAAAATACGATGAATTTCCCGCATACTGCATTTTTGATTGGATTGGCTGACAGAAAATAGAGCCAAAGTGGGCCTTCCAAATAATGACAAAAAAATTTCAAATAAGAACAATTTTTTCTTACGGTTACTTGTGATTTTGAGCTTGCAATTTGCAGAAAAAAGCAAGGGTTTCCCGCCGAAAATTGGCAAAAATTCAGAACACGTTCAAGCGTAGAAGGATGACGAATTCAAGCTCAATTTCACTTGTATTTAGTAAAGGGCACTTCCGCAAAAAATCAGCCTTTTCCACAAGGGAGTTTCAAAAATATTACCAAATTTTTTTCTCGTCGTCTCTGCTCGTTTTCAATCCTGTTTAATATACAAAATTATGGAGTATTCTTGCTCCCTCTATGACTAAAAGGCCAAAATTTTGCTGGCCATGTTTCTCTCGGGTTCAGTTAACTCACCTAAATTTTACGGGGTCTACAAGTCACACTTGTCTTTAAAACTTCATATCTTCAACCCCGCACCCATGTTTACACCGCTCATTTAATCACCATAAAAACTCTGACCTTAGGAAGCAGCGACAACCGATTACTTTTACGGCTCCCAAAAATATCACTAATCGTTGAAATTTGAAAGCATTTGTTGACTCCAACTTCCGCCTCACTCAATTGCCCAGACAAAAAGCCGAAAGCACACAAACAGAATGCTTCTCCTGATCCAGATTCCATGTTCGCGTGGAGAGCTCGCATTTGGGTCGCCGGAAAGACGGATTGCTTCTTCTGGCTCGTCATGCATTTGGACCTTGAATTTATTTGGGTGATGCGGGGCCAGGAATGTTGGCCAATTTTTATGGCTTTGTTCTCGAGAGCGCTTGGGGTTTCCTGGTTCATAAATCAGCGGAATTGAATTTGTCTGGGGGATTTTCGTAAAATACGAGAACATTTAGGCATTTTAAAGGGGATTTTTGGCTTTTTCCCTTGGGCAATGTGTGATTTTTTGCTATTTATCAAGAGGACATATATGTTGCTGGTTTTAGGAATGTCGTATTTTACTTTTACCCTTTTCTATTTTTTTAAATTGAATTTTTATGACCAAAAAACCCCATTTTACCCTTCTCCTCTCTAGAAACCCTAATTTTCATCACTTTTCCCTCAAAAAATCTCCTTTTGCGTGCTAAAACTCTTCTCCTAGCCGCCGCAAATTACACTAGACCTCTTGACCCCATAAATACTTGCACCCTGATATTCTTCCAAAGGTATGCACTGTATTTTTTTCGGTGTTCATTTTTTGCCTATTCATTCAATCTCCGTGACGACTGAAGCATGTCTTCAACGGGCCGAGGGCGGCCCCGGTTTCGAACCGTGTTTTGTTCGTAGGGGATTTTTTGAGCCTTCATGGGGTACGGGCAATTGCGGTTGCGTTGGAATGCAGAGGATTTTTGGGAGATTATTGTGGGATCTTTGACAGTTTTTGATATTTTTTGTATTTTCTGCAAAATTTTGACTTTTTTAAACTTTAAAAAAGGTCTTAAACTGACATATTTATCGATTTATGGTCTGTAAAAAGTCTGAAAACTCAAAATATTCCACGATCTGCTCAAATCATAATCTTTTTTGTGATTTATTACACATTTTTTTCAACTTTTTAAAAAAAATTTCTAAAAATTTTGTTTGTTATTTTTGCTAAAAATTGCTTTTTCGACATCTTAGCTCACTAGACAGTCAAGCCCTACCCGTCAGCTTCAATGTCATAACATTTTTCCGCATGATTGGCCCGAGATCCTTGCCCAAAAAATGACGGTTTGGCTTTGTTTTTGGCTTTAACAAAGTTTGGAGGTTTTTGAGAGCTCCAATTCATTTTTTGATGGTTTGTTTTTTTTTGGTCTGACATAAAATGAATGTACTGAAGTGCACGTATTTTACCAAAAATTGCAAATTTAGTCATCAAAAAGATGTGATCAGCAAAGCCCTTTTTTTTCAAATATTCGAATGTCCCGTGAATTTGATGGCCCCACTTCTCACATGTACATCCCGCTGTTTATATTGGTGTTATGTTTCGCAAATAGGCAGTGTTGAGATCGTATGTTTGCATGGTATTTGGTTTTTTCGAAATTTTATCGGTTTGTACCTTACATTCAAGGTTTATCGGCTCGATTGAAGCCGATAAACCGAAAATGAAATTTTTCTGAGTTCACCAAATCGATAAGTGCCTCAGGGGTGGATGAAAAACACGCTTTATTTATTGTCGAATTGTGAAAAACCAAGATTTTTTTACTTTATTTTAGACCAAGTCTTAAAAAAAAGAAGTTTTTTCAAAAGTCTCATTTTCTTCTCCTTCTCGGTGTGTTAAAAAATTCTTCTCCTTCATTTGACTCTTATTTGTCTCTTCTATCATATACGTAAATATCTTGACATGAGCTGGTCTACACATATTTACACGAGCTTCCGACATATGACGATGACAAACGTAGAAGGCGTAATTAAAGTGAATTAAATGTAGCCGAGTACAACTCCTTTGTAACTCACAAACATTTGGCCGTATATACAATGTCTCTAGGGTATTTTTAAATTGTATCTGTAGTTTTATTTTTGTGGATTTCCTACAATTTACACCTACAAGATATTTCAGGTATTTTGTGGTGAGATGTTGTCAAAAATTGAGTCGTATTTTAGCGGGTACACTAACTTTTAACTTTTTTTACGGTGACATTTGACCTTCAGTTCAATATTCTTGAACTTTTTGAGCTCAAAAAATTACATTATCTCAATTTTTTTTTTATTTTTCATCTCATTTTCCCAGAAAATCAAGAAATGTTTTTCTATTCTCCGCTTATTTAGAGATTTTCCAGAGATTTCACAATTAAATCAGTCTTGTTTTTTTTTCTCCCTCGCCCCATTCCAGAAGTCCTCGAGAATCTTTAGCCTCGTCTCCGACCTCGACCCCTCCTGGGTATAAAAGATTGCCCAAATAAACTTATAAGGACTGCCCTTTGAGGGCCCCCGACTTTGATACATTCCCAATCTTGTACTAAGTTTGCTCTTTGAAATTTCCAGCCATTTTTCAAAGCTCATTTTTTTGTAACAATTATGTTTATGAAATTCTCTCACCTAAAACGAGGTCGTCAATGTTTTTTGACCGTTTGGGAAATTGGGTTTGCCCTCCAGACCTAAGGACCTTGCCGTTTGACCCAGTGGACCACACAAAACAATCCTTTGTGGCCACTTCAACGGAGTTTTATTTTTATCGCCTCAGGGGAAATTTTTCGAATTAAGTGGAACAAAGGCGTGAAAAAAATGCGACGGCCGTAAAATGGTGTGGGCTTTATTTTCAATGTCTAATTTAACAATTTTACAATGTAAATTTACCTTTGAAATTATGAAATTTATTGTCATCGTGCGGAAATCTGAATTTCTTATTTTTCTCACGGTAAAAAATTTTGTTCTGAAATTTATATAAATTGCGCAGTAAATAATCAAAATTTTCTCATGGTCTATTTTTATGTGTATAGTAAATTGCTGTCTCCTGTGCAGGTTAATCTATGGTATCTTTAGACCATATTTTTTGTATTTTTCACGATACATACTCTTCCTGCGGAAATCTTAGTTCAGCCGGATATTGCTGATAATTCCATGTCATTTTCTTTATTTTTTCTTGAAACATTTATTCATTTTTATGGATTTACGTGAGGTCTGAAAGGTTCAAAATTTGGGGGTTTAACAGTGGAGAGCAATTAGTAATCTTTATTTTATGTATACTACCCTGTTATTTGCTGATTTAATAGACATAGCAGTTATGATAGGTCCTTATCTTTAATCAGTCGTAATTTGGGGAAGGTTTTACAGTCAAAAGATTTATCTCTGAAGACGCCTGTGTCTTGTCCAATATTCAATTTTTAAACTTTGATCCACTTCTTCATAATCTTTAATTTTGCTCAATTTTTGCTTTCTCAAGTTCAACTGCCCTTTATTTCCCCTCCTCCTCCTTCAAAAAAAAAACACTTGCCCGAGATGATAAAGCGGTCTGTAGACCACTAAGAACCGAAAGTATATCTCTTCATCATCACGAACGCGGAAGCCGGGGACGTCCCCACTTCCAAATCCCGATGTGTATCGCCCTCCGAATCGACGTAAGCGGGCCCCCCAAAGAACTGCGTATATCACACTTTTCGGCACCGCAAGGCCAAAAGAACACCGAGATGAGGGATGGGGCACCGCGACGAGACGGCAGAGCCAATTTTCCGCCGAGAAGCGGCGAAAATGAAGACCGGCGGGCCGCTCGTCTTTTTTGCTGGGGCTTTCCTTGCGCCGTCTGCACGGTGCTGCCACTGCGGCCCTCGGGCACTATTTCGCCAAGCACGCCCGACATAGCATGGAGGAAAGAGTAACCACCTAGCGGATAATTTCGCCACTGTTTTTTGTTGTGGATTTTGGCTTTTTTCCACTGCCCAACAAGCTGCTACCGGGGTTTTTTACCGCGTTTTCATCAATCAACAACTTCTGGTTTCAATCAACTTGGATTCTCGCACATAACTTGTAGAATACTACAACTTTTTGGCAGCAACTTGCGACGTTTACTTGAAATCCGCATCCCCCCGCACCTATTATTTATTATTCTACCTTTCGCCCACCGAAACGGCCAACTCCGCGCCATTGCAAGAGCATATTGTGTAGCGGTTTTGACAGCTCTCGTCACATCAGATGAGCGTCGACGCTCGCGACAAACGGTCAAATTCCCCCTAGAATGTCAACCGCAGCCCTTCAACACCCAGACGACACTGTTTCACGAGGCTGGTGCTGAAGGCGTTTACATGATTAGAACGAAAAGAGACTTTGATGAACTGAAAGCAAGTCCACTGTTCAGCGATGCCGTCCCCACCAACACAACGTCGCAAGACGTTGGAGATTCAGGAGTGTTTGGAGCGACCGCACTCGTCGATGGAGCGGAACAAGGATCGACCGACGCTGAAGAAGGAGTTTCAAGGCAAGTGTGAGGAGGAAGGAGGGGGAATTGAAGGGATTTTGAGTTTATGAGGGCAGTTAGTGGTGATAGATGCTTTTTTTAACGTTCAAGAAGTATTTCGTTTTGGTAAACTTTTAGTAACACCTTACTATTTTTTGACATTTTTTCGTTGAAAAGTGTAAAGGCCACAAATGGAAAACCTTTACAGACAAGTGTAAAGTCGACTTATCAAATACGTTTCTTTTCACGACTGTTGGTGCGGTTAGGACTGCCTTAATTTACCCGTAAAGGCGTCTAAACCAGGCTGTAACGTCTTCGCTGTAATGCAACTGGCACTAAGCTCATTGGCTTACTTTTTTCTAGGGTCTAACATCTCTAATTGTAAAATAAACATCTTCTGGGATACATCATTCAGCCTGAGTCTTTCGTTGACCTACAGAAACTCTGTTGTCGACATTTTTTCTAATTTTAACCGTTTTCCATCAACCCAAAGTTCATTTCATTCTCTGTTCCAAGTCACATACATATACGTGACATTTCCATCTCCTCTCAACTTGCAAACTAGCCAAATTACCGCATTTTCTTTGCTCTCCGCCTTTGACGCATTTGTGAGAAAACAATTCGGCCTTAAATATAGAAGAGTCTGGATTAACCTGCCTTACCCGTTCCATTAATATGTATAATCTCACGAGTTGTCAAATGTTATATTATACACAGTGTAGGATAAAGAGAATATGGGAAAATGAGAAAAGAGAATTGCAATCTTTGGTGACAAAAGGAACTCAATATGTATTTGGGCGTAATCCGAGTTAAACTGGTGGATTTTGCCACCGCGTTTGCGTTCAAGTATGTGTAATTTTGGATGAATTCTGGACAGCATATTTTTTTAAGAGAAGTAATATTATTTTCGGCTGATTTTTAGTAGAAAATAAGTAGTAGTTTGGCAAGTTTCAAGGCCATAAATCAGCTGCTTTTGCAATACGCGAGCTCGGAATTTCAACGTTGTCTTAGAACGTACTGTTCTAGTTTGTTATCAAGTTTTGTCATCAAAAAATTTTTTTGAAATTTTCGCATCTGACGCCACAAAACCCCCTAAAAATGTTCATTTCTCATCAAAGCTTCCGTCTGTGCGCATATTTAACTCTCCTATCGACTACTGTAATGTTTTTCGGACAAATATTTTGGACGATTTTGAGATTCCCCGTGGTAGTCTATTATCTCATTCGCTTTCCCATAGACGTCTCTCAGCCCCATAATTTCATAAACTTAATTAGACAGTAGGGACCGACAAAACAAGCTCTCTGCAATTTGTTGTTTCGAAAACCGGGAACTGCTCGAAAAATATTATGAATATGACTTTTGGTGCGATTGTAAAATTAAATTTTGGGATTGAGCTAGGATTTTACTGTTTAGAATTACTTGTTAAGACATGGAAAGGGTCTGGAGAGGAAATGAGAGCAGTGGACCACAAAAAAAGAAAAAATTGGACCTTTGATGACAAAAATTATATCCTCCATTATAAACTGATGTCTTAGTGGGTTCATTTTTGGAGGTAAATAGGCCAATGCTGGGTAAAAAAGTTTATAATACCCTCTAAATTTCTTGAGAATATTCATTTTGTAATTTTGTTTTATTTAGTAAGCTTTTTTTTGTCTTTTCTGCCTGATGTCTACTGCAATATATTTAGCCATATCCTCAAATTTCCTGAACTCATCAGCTAACTTTTAGTCCAGCTTTTGGTGTCGTATTTTACCCTAATTTCCTCTGCAAAATATGCTAATCAAATTCAGGACAACCGTTTGAACATCCCTTTCCATTTCAATTATCATTTTTGGGCCCGTCTTCTCTCCGTCTTCGAGAAAAAAATGGGAGAAAAAGACCTCTGAATGAAGTCGTTCTTCTGCGTAGAGCAATATAATGAGTTCCCGGCTCTCTACAAGTCATAAAGTAATAGGGCAAATGGCTTTACTCGTTGATAAAAAATGCTTTGACTCAAAAATCCAAAATTTTTGTGTATTTTTTGTCAAAAAAATTATTTTTTTGTGGGAAAGTAATTATTACTAGTAATATTTTGTCAGATAAGGTTCTCAGCTTACCAGACCCCGTATTTTAAACCTTCTCGCGGATTTTACGTACAAGTATTTGATTAAAAAAATTAAAAAATTCCAGAAAAATTGCAAATTCCTTTGCTTTCGCGACGTCTTCAAATTCCTTCGTTTTGAAAGAAACGGTTTATCAGAAATGGCTGATAAACGAAGGGAAATAACCTTATTTTATTCGTTTTGAAAAGTTCAGCGATGGCACGGGAGAATGGAACGGCCCGGCTCAGCAAGGCCTTCGGCTGCAAGGGTAATACAAAATGATGATTTTTTTGATTTTTTTTACTAATAATTCTTACTTTTGGTGTATGCATTTCTTGACCTTGGTATGGCAAAAATTTTGCGATGATTTGTAACCGATTTTTTCTTTGAAAAAACGAAAAAAATGAAAAATTGCAAAAAATGGGAAATTTCATATTAGCCATGGCAAATTTAACACATTTCTCTTCAGATTTGATGAATGACTGGGAGATTGGCGGCACGCAGAATGCCTGGGTATGCCCTTCAGATCGGCATCTTCAGCTCAGGGCGCAGTAAGTGTTTCGCTAACATTTTCGCAATTTAGGCATCTGACTTACGTCAGAAACGTATGTCATGCATATATTACCGAAAGCGTCGTCATGATATAATGTCACTCAATTTGTAGGCTCAAGAGTGGCTGGAGTGTGCGGACAGCAACTGCTCGTTCCCCGACCACAACGAAAGCGGCCGCCATGAACGGGATCAGTGATGCTGAACAGGAGCAGATCAGGAAGGTGCTGGCAAGGGCAGAGGCTGGAAAACAGCAGGAAAAAGAGAGGATAGGGTGAGTTTATTTTGTGGAGGTTGCTGTTGACAAAAAGAACATACAGAAACAGCTGAGAAATGCGGAAAATAGCCTATGTCATCACGCGTATAGTTTCGAGCATGATGACATAAGATATAAGCTAGCTATGCTTAAAAATTCTTTGAGTTGTAGGCAAATTCAGCTTTATTTTTTAGCGATTTTGCGCTGCTCGCAATTCCTTCAAATATTATCTAGCATTTTCTGGCGATTCGACCAGGATTTTAACCGGCTGAGACAATAGATAGCGGCTAAAAAGACCAGAGAAAGAGCTATGTATCTTGACCAGGCCATATCAAATTTTTCGGTTTTCTAAGCCTTTTGTAAACATTTAAAAACTAAAGAAAAGCGATAACTCTTTCTTGAGGAAGGCACTGAACAAGTGACATCACTTTCAGTTCTTTTGACCAGAGTTTTTTTTTTTTTGTTTTTTTCCAATAACTGCCTCCGCAATGAATCGTCAGCCACAGTTTTATAAAAGTTCACTGACCGCTTTTTTCTCTGTCTCCGTTGTTACTCCGGAAACATGCGAAATGACCTGTAATGAGCGTTCATTTTTTATAAATTTGCAAAAAAATTCATATATTTAGGTTATTTATTATATTTGCAACTCTCTCTTTGAATTCCTCGAAATCATCTTGCAATCTTTTTTTCGTTACTATCTTGAGTATTTCCAAGTTTTTCAATTTCCGAACTCCTCGTGGCTTCTTCGAAATCAATTATTTTCAAAGTTTTGGGGGATTTGGAAATCGCTCAACCCAAATTGAAGCCGAAACATCCTAAATTCAGGTGCTGGCCTTTAATCGGAACTAGCATTTCCTCACTTCGTTTGCTCGAAATCTGTGTCCAAATCAATTAAAATCGCGTTTTCGGGAAAAGGTTTTTGGACGTTTATTAAATTAGCGTGGAGGAACGATTGGCCTGGTCGGCCAGTTTTTACTGGCTGATGAAGTTTGAAGACAAAGTTTTTGTCCGAGTTTCTCAAGTGTTTTAGGCAACCTGGGCTGTGCGGAAGGGCAGAGGAAGGCATTTTTGTTCATTATGGGGGATTTTGAGGGTAGTTAAAGTAATGTAAGCTGCAATTTTGGGCAAACTCAGAGGTAAAAAAAGCTAGACTTTGCCTCAAATAGCTATAGCTTTCATTGAAACCACATTTTTTAGTCCTCAAATCATCCAAAATCCATTAGATGGCCCCTCATTTTTCTGGATTTTTTTTAAACTGCAAAAATTTTTTGATTTAAGCAAGTCAAAGATACCTAAATACTGCCTATAACCTTCTATCACGTTTTTAAAAATTTGTATGCCTTGTTTCGAATATGAAGTAGCTAGCTTTGGACTTTGGTATTTCCAAAATTTGATTTGCAAATTTCGAATTTTTCCCGGAATTTTTGTTTGCGAAATATTAGCTTTTTGATCCGTAAAGTACCACGTTATTTCTAGTTTTTTATTTCTCGTTCGAACTGCAGAAAACTTCCGCTTCGGACTTATTTACCGGGATATTATTCTTCATGCTTCGAGAGGCATGAGATGCCAAGGGATATACCGAAAATTCTCGATTCTTTTGCTTTGACTTTTTGGTCACGTACAGCTGCCAGTTATTTACCAGAATTTTATCGATCAGCTAGTATTACTTGTATTTCTAACGTCATTTTTGCACGGAAAACCGGCATTTTTTATTTTTAATAACCTTTAAAGCGCTTCGAAACACGAGCTCTTCAAATATTGCCGCAGGCGTTCTAGATGCATCCCGCAAATCTAATAGGTCACAAAATTGCTTTGAGCAGGATGTTTAGTCTTTACAGATGCTACTTGGAATGAGTGAGGATTTGAAATTTGCATTTGTTTCAGAAAAATGGTCGATCGTCTTGAGAAAATGAAAACCCGCGCCAGTGGAAATGGAGTCACTCAATGTCTGATTTGCCAGACCGAGTTTGGACTGTTGGCCTCGAAAAGTTATGCGGCCATGTGCTCGGATTGTCGGAAGGTGAGTCTGATGATAATCAGGAAAAAAATTGGTTGCCGCTGACATGATATAAAGAGCAAAAAACTTCTTCTCTTGTGACAAATACAACCTTCATTTTTTTCAGTACGTGTGCCAAAAGAACTGCGGAGTCGAGACCTTCGATCAAAAGCGAGGAGAGCCCATCTTCCTTTGCAAATTGTGCAGCGAGTATCGTGAGGTTGTAAGTTGCTTAGGCTTAACTTTTCGACTTTGCTAAACACTCGGTCCTGTCCTAACACCGGCTTCGAATTCACTCATCTATTTGGTAAATAGCCCTCTGAATTTTCCTCAAATCTAAATTGAGAATTCAGCGGGTTACTGTAACTTGTTCACTGGGGAAATTGTTTGTCCTAACAGTCCATGTTTTGCACTTTGGATTTGTGGCAATTTCCCGCAATGTGGCAATGCCAGCACTTTGTTACAATCTCTGTGTTTCACACGTTGTTTAACGCATATTTTAGATGTGGAAAAAGTCGGGTGCCTGGTTTTATAAAGAAGTCCCAACCTACGTGAAGCCCTGTGATTCCCCCGCGTCTTCGAGTGCTTATCCCCCCGTAAATGGGTATCGGCACATGCCGAATGTTCCCTCAACGGCGTCACCGAGCAGTGGCTGGCCTTCGGGCTTCAGTCCCAGTCCCCGTCTTTCTCATGGCAATGTGGTATCGCCGCCGGTTGTGGAGCAGAACGGGGGTATTCCGGGTGCTCACGGCGCTCCAAGGCAACGACAGTTGCCGATTCCACCGGATCAGCAGCAGCGGTAAGGGAAATAAGATTGTTTCAGTGCAAAAATTCCAGTCTTAAAACCACTCCTCGCCCTCGAATAACCCCCTCCTGGGTCCATGAAAAAGTCCAATCCTCCATGTCGATCGGCTCCGAAGACGAAGAGTCCTCTTCCTCATCCATCGACGCCATCGACTTCAAAACTCCCATTTCAAACCAAGTGCCAAGCCAACAACCCCAACCATTGCCGCCCTCCCGTCGTCATCATTACCGACCGCGGGAGTATCGCCATAATCAATCGCCTTCTCAGCAGCCCACCACGACCAGTTCGTCATGTGCCTCGTCGTCGACAGCTCCACGGAATCTGCAACGGTTCACCGTGAGCAATCGGAACCCGATCACGGACACAGGTACTTTGGAACGATTGGTGTAGTTGTTTGTGGTCGTGGAGGTTTAATGCAGCCAAACCGAGCTAACATTCTTTGGTTATCCTCAGTATATTCAGTTCGATTTCAAGTTCGGAGTGTGTAGATGTCTATTTGTTTAGTCTTGTCTGAAAATTTCTTACATTGAAAGGGGTATAAACCTAAGGTATCAAGGTACTAAACAGGTTTACCTTTCTGTCACAACTAGCTTCACTCTATATATACGGTAGTGGGCCCTTGAGAATACTGTAAAAAGCATTAAGTTTCCAAGAAATGCTATACAAATCATCTAGTGTAGAAATTGCTTATATACCCCTATCTGCTATCTTAGGCAATTATATGAAATATCATCCTTTTATTGGCGTTTTTGTAACCTAGCTTAGACGTACTGTGATTTATAAGCTATCTTCTTTTTTATCAACTTATATATTCCCCAATATCATTCAAAATCCCTGCTCAGTCAACAACATCTTCGATTTTGCCTTTTTCTCGCCTACTACAACATAAATGTCGTGAATCTTTTTGGCCGGTTCCGTTCTGTCCTTTATTTTTACATCTATACCTGCATTTCAGAATAAACTAAATAACTAATAGAAACCTCTTCCCGATTTTAAAATTCTCCCTCATTTACAGCGGAAAAGAGCGCGCTCCTCCAGAAAATGAAGACCTTCTCGGTGACGGACGAGGAGTCCGAGTGTAGCACGACGACCAAGGCGACCATCGACCCGGCGCAGCAAATCGACGAGGACGCTCTCTCGCATTCGTCGACGTCGCAGTCTTGAATGGAAAAGGTGCTTATCAGAGTGAAAATCCCCGTTTTCTCCGAGTGGTTGCAATAATAATGTCCCCTCCGAGTTCTGTTCACAACCTCTTCCCTCTGTCTTTTTCCAATTGTCGATTTGGTGGTTGTGTTGGGAGTGGTTCGTGAATGCTGTATTTTGTTTGATGATGACTCTGGTTATTCTAATCTGGTGATTTGATTTTGAGTTAGGGGTTGGATGGCGGGGCAAAAGGATGAAAAAATTTGGAAGTTTGGATGATAAGCAATTATGATAGACCCTACTGCGAATAAACGAGGATAAATCAATCCCATCCCCATCATGGATCCGGCAAAGCTGCTTGTTCTATTAAGCAGCAAAAATCGGAAAAAAATTTTGGTTCATTCCAATAGTCCCGTGAATTTTTATAATGAGACGCTGGAAAATTGCGAAGGCGGCGTTTTATGATTTTTACCGCATTTGATCTCTATAGGTTCCTTTAAAAATACTAAACCACCGTTTTCCGTTAAAATCCCCCCATTTCCCGCCATCCATCCCCATCTTCACTCTCTACTTGCCTCCCTGAGTTCACTGTCACTTCGTTAGACCCTTCACACATCTCTAGATTCTTACAAACGCACGCGTGCTTACAAAACCTGAGTTTATTGCTAACACTTTGGCCAAGGGTTGCATTTGAGTTGATTATCCCCCTACTCTCCCAACTCTAACCCTTTTTCCGTTTTCAGAGGAGAGTGAGAACGATGAGTCGCGTCGAACAACCCCCTCAACTTCGCCGAGGCATTCGTTGGCAACGCCGAGTAGTTTCGGAGGCGACGACTTATCGCAGAATCACGTGACGTTGATTACGAACGAGGCGTCGGATTCGAAGAGTATCGACTCTGGAGGTGAGTGTTAAACTCTTGTTGTCGTAAATCTGTTACCCATTGCGGCGCAGGGAGTAATTTGCGGAACGCGATGAGATAATTAGGTTACGGTAGAGTTGGAGGTCTCAACGATCGACGCTGGACCCGTTAGCATTTAGAAGTGGATGTCACTTGTTGTTTACATCTTTCTAAAAAACTTTGTGGGCATTTTCTTCCATTAAAAAAACGTAGGCTTCAATTAACATTACATTATGCAAATACCCAGCTTCAAGTTGGGCCTCATAGGCATGTACACGTAGTTTTGGGCGCTTTCATCACGGTTAACGCAACATTTCCGGCGTATCTTGGGCTCGTAGCGTTTTGAGGGCTCTTTAGGTCCCCCTTTAGCAACGTTTTATGTCAGATTCTGACCTTTTTGTGCTTGGATATTTGTGGAAACTTAAGCCGAAGACATTGTGGATATTGGCTTTTAAAGTATTCTTGTTTCTTGCTCAAACACCGAACGCATTTATTGACCGTTAAAGTCGAAGATAAAGAAGGTTTAAAGCGAGGATTTGAACGTTAAGAGGAGCGTAGAAAGGTCAGAATTTGTTTCGGTATTGACTAGGCGACGTGTATCCTAACTGGTCAATATTTTATCTACGGTTGAGAAATAGGGCAGCCAGGAGAACCTAGCGTTCTGCTAGTCAGCTAAGGCGCCTAAAATCGCGAATTTTGAGCCTGTTATTCGAGCTACCCGCAACTAGGGTGGGGTGGCAAAAACTCGCGAAACTTTTCATTCCCTGAGTGCGGCTTGGCTTGCAGTCGTTCAAAGCGACCACTCAATGCATCAAATCCGTCAAGTCATTCCGGCTGCAGGCGTCCCAGCCCCACAGCACCATCCGCCCACCGCGTTCACGCCCACGCCGCAGACTAATCTGGCCAATCCAGCGAGTCCCATGCACAATTCCTGCTCCTCCTCTTCGTCGCCGCCGCCCTCACTGCCGGGCCAGGTGCCGTTGCCCGAGATGCGCGCAATGAACTTGAACAAGGATCCGAAAACGAGTCTGCAACACATGCAAAGCAATCATATTGAGCGGCAACCGCAATGGCCCGGCTCGAGTCCGCGGAATTCCAACACCGTACCAAGCCTGTTTCAACCAACCGCGCCACCGCTTCCGCCGCGACATGGACAGAGTGTAGGAAACGTGGATCGAAGGCCTTCGAGTGGATCCTCATCGACCAACAATTCAATGGCCCGAAGAAATATGCAATCCAATCCGAACAGCTCCCGCGAAAGCCTGAATATCACTCCGGCCGCGGCGTTGGCACAAAGTCAACTGTCGCTGATATCGAAGCCACGACCGCCAAGTGTCCACTCGACGGACAGAAAGAGCTCAATTACAGTTGGATCGAGGGAAAGTTTGAGCTTGGCGCCTACTGAAACGGTGAGTTTAGAGGGTCAAAACGTTCAGAGCGGGTGGGACTAGGACTACAACGTATTTTTGGAAGCTTTTAGCCGGTTCTTGGCCCTATTACAACCCATTTTTTGAGCTTCACACCCATCTGTAGCTTATTTTAGATCCTTCTTGTAAAACATGTGTCCTAATCAAAAATTCAAAATACTTCCACATCTTCTGACAATCCAGAACACAATTTTAGACACTCAAAACAAAGGTTGTCATAGCACGAAATCTTAAACTTGACGTATTTTTAACGTGACTATGCTTTAATATTCTAACTGAAGAAGTTTCAGGACCGACCTGCCGAGTCCCCGACATTCATGAGTTCGCCGGAGGATGATTCGAGTGAGTTTGTCGGGGGAATAAAAGAACTTTTGTATGCTGTGAAACAAAGCTTCTATCGGCTTTAAAACACGCTTTTGGATTGGCTAAAGCTTTTGGAAATCAAATATAAAGCATGCCTTTTTATTTGATCGTATCTTTATTGTTAGAAAACACAAAAAATTATATTTTTCGGCCGCCTCAGGCAGTTATACAAGCCTAAATTCGAATGTTTTTTCACCGTATGCTATGTGCTTCAGTATCATCCAAAATCCGAATGCAATGTTGCTTGAAGTGCTTCTCTCCCTATCGTTTTATAACAAGTTTCACTTCTCTAACACGGATGGCTTTAAATTTTTCAACAGGGCTTCATTCAACGTTATTTTATGCGTTATTTTAAATATCCAAACCCGTTTTATACCCTTGAAAAAATCCCTTTAAAATCCCGCTTCTTATGTCCAGTTCGTTTTGTGTTCGTAATCTTACCGCTCGCTTTATTTCAAGAAGCCGAGGACGAGATTCAACACGCCGGCAACGACGAAGAAGACCTCAATTTCCTGACCATGCCTCGAAACCGTTCCAAGTCCGACCGTCCAACGAGAACCCAACGTATCATCTCTGTGTTTACGCGGCCTCAAACCACTTGCAGCAATTACCGACCGAAATGCAGCAAGCAGAACTCGTTGCAAAAAGATTCCCGAGAGCACAATCATTCAACAAATTCGTTGAGCAGTGCGTTGACTGCCTTCAACGAGAAAAGCAATGGCGAAAGTAAGAGTACGTCGAGATTGTCGGTGAATATGGAGTCCGAAAACGATCATGATGACATGTCAATGTCGAGGACCCCATCTCCACGTCGGCCCACTTCAGCCAACTCTTTGTTGGCCACAATAAAAGAGAAATCCCCGCTGGATCCGGCGGATGAGGAATTGGAGAATCGAAGGGGCAGTCCGACAGATCGCAAGACGCCTTCGCCAATCCGCAACCGACTCGGCAACGAGCCTCCAGGTGCGGATTTGATCGTCGAACAACCCTTCAACACATGCTTTGTTATCACACCAGTTTCGTCTCTGTCCGACTTTCCAAGCACTTTCCCTCTATCGTTGAGTTCCGTTTTGTGCACGCGTTTTGTTGCAGCGCTTTGCCGATTAGCTGAGATTTGTTTGAGGCTGTGGAGGACTTTGCGGTGACAGATATTACTTGGATAACATTTTAGTTCCTTTTTTCTATCCTATTTTGTTTTTGAAGGCTTCAAAAGATGACTAATCTTATTAATGCCATTTTTAGGCACTCTTGGCTCGATTCAGTTCAATTTGACCTACTTGTCGGAGGAGAAACAACTCATTATCCATCTTATCAGAGCTAAGGTGAGAGCTACATCAATTTATAAGGCGGTTGGTTTGGGTTATTGACTCGGTAGCCACATAAAATTTCCTTTTCCAGAACCTCAAAGCCATGGACAAGAATGGATTTTCCGATCCATATGTCAAATTCCACCTGATCCCTGGGAATGTCAAGGCGACGAAGCTGACCTCAAAGACCATTGAGAAGACGCTGAACCCGGAGTGGAACGAGGAGATGATCTACTACGGTATCACTGAAGATGAGAGGCTGAAGAAGACGCTGCGAGTGACAGTTCTGGACCGGGACCGAATTGGATCCGATTTCCTGGGCGAAACTCGAGTCGCCTTGAAAAAACTGCCATTAGGACAGACGAAGAAGTTCAACCTATATTTGGAACATGCCATGCCGACTCCGGTAAGGAGAAACACAGAAAAAAAAATTAAAAAAATATTATAGAAAGTTTCAAAGAGTGTCAAAAAACCTCAAAATTCCTCAAAAATTAAAACGATTTTTTCAGGCCGAGCAAAGCGAAAATACCGAACGAGGAAAGATCTTAATGTCAGTTTGCTATAACATCCAACAAGCATGCCTCTTCATCCATGTGAAACGCTGCGCTGAACTTATGGGAATGGACTCCAGCGGCTTCTCCGACCCCTATTGTAAAGTCTCGTTGACTCCGTTGAGCTCAAAACAACATCGATATAAGACGGCGATCAAGAAGAGGACACTTAATCCGGAGTTTAACGAGGTAATTAAAGTTTTGAAAGACTTGAGATGACATGTTTTTTAGGTGATCCAATTTATCGTCCCATTCAAAGATCTTCCCAAGAAAACGTTGGAAATTGGTGTTTACGATCATGACGTTGGACGGCATGACGATTATATCGGTAAGCAGAATAAAAAAAAGATATTCAGCGACCTTTGCAGACGATAAAGTATTGGATTTTTAGAGATATGACAATGATTTTTTTGCTAATTTTTTAAAAAATTTCAAAGATTTTAAGGACTTAGGTTTCAATTTCTCGTCATTTAAACATTCCCATAGCTAAATAAAGGTCTTTATTAGGAAATAAATCGTATTTTACCCCTCCTTTTGCAGGCGGAATCGTCCTCTCCACTGCGGCGAAAGGCGATCGCGGCAAACAATGGACCCAATGCATCGAGAACCCGGGCAAAACATTCGAATATTGGCACAAACTCGAGACGGATTAACACCCCCAATATCAGACACCTGTACAAACCCTACAACGTCAGGATTAACTTATATGTCCCACTAATATTACAGTTCACTTTGTAGAATTTTTTTTTGACTTTTCTCTTGCTTACTCCGGGTATGACACACAATATTTTATTACTGTTTATTTTTTGAATTTTTTTTTTGAAAAAGTAAAGAGTTGGTATTTGAAGGGAGCAGAATATTTGAAGAGAGCGCTGAAAATAATGCCAAAGAGAGTCAAATTCAAGAAGCAAAAAACGAAATTCATCGAATAAATTTCTCTAAAACAATATAAATTATCAATTTCTCATGAGATTTCAAATATTTGGAGCTGTATATACACATGAGGAATAAATTTACGATGCTACAGTAGCACGTCTAGTCGTCATATCGCTCTCGGAGCCATCGCTTTCCCTTTCTGACCACTTGAAGCACGTAGAAATAGATGTAGGTCACAAGACAAAGGCCGATCCAGTAAACCGGCACCAAAACCTTCTCCCGTTTGGTTATTTCTTCCTGTTTTCGGGCAATAAAAGTGGGCAGTTGAGTGTAGCCAAAGGCCAGAAATCCGATCATCCAGAGGAGGTAGGCGACGCACAGGATTGCCATGAGAAGGACGACTGAGAGCTGGAAATGGTCGGTAAAAGTGAATAAATTTTCTTGATTTTTCAGAAATTTCAAAGGTGTTTTACTTAATGTTTGAGTATATAGTGAAACTTCTAAACAATAAGTCACAAATAACCAAAAAAAATTAGTTTTTATAGATGAGTTTTGCTGTATAAAGGCTCCAGTTCACTTGAAGATACATGGACAAAGCAATTTTTTGCTTTTCCAGATATTTTGCGTTGCCGAGAGAACAAATAAAGAAAATTTAAGAGAAAAAGATAATTTTTCGGCCGCGCTTTTCTACTTTTTTTTTATATCTACCGTACTGTAGATAGAGCGATAACTTTATCATACCGAAAGCTACTGTCCTCCCAAACCACTTACCATGCAAACAATGTATGGCAGATACAACGCCGGCCGTTTGAGACGATTCCCAGCCAAGAGGATGGCCGATGGAATCATGGCAAAGATGGCGATGACAGTTAAAATTATCAAGCTATCAGAATGTTCCTTTCCGTCTAGAGTGGCACCAATGCCAACAATAGCCCATATTGTGCAATGAAGAATGGAAATAATGGCAAAGAAGAATGTCCCGACCTAAAATAAGGTATATGTAAGTAAGGCGGAGAAGGTTTATTAAGCCGTGTATTTTGCAATGTAAGGCTGTACAGCAAGGCATGATTTTCTATATAAATGAATCGGATCATGTTACAACTAATCCTTTCAGGGTCAAAGTCCGACTTACATGAACATGCGTCCCGCACAAACATCGATAATATCCATCGCTTCTAACAGTCCTCAATTGCGTTAATTCCGCCTCCTTCTCATTGATTCGAGATCCCGACCCAACTCGGAACATTGTTCACGACCTTAATGTCCAAAAAGCACGGATTGTTTTTGTTGATATGTCAACAGCTTTCTTCTGATCGATTTGTGAGACCGCTGAAAAATATGTCGGATCAAGGCAGGTAGTTTGTGGAACGACACGAGATTGTTTTATGATTCTTTAAAACACGGTGGGCCAAGAGAGACTAAAGATTTTTTTACGCGTTGACATTTGATATCATATTCTACTTTTCAGAAGTAAAAAATTTTTAAAGTGATCTCATAGCAAAAGATGACTTCTTCCTGATCCTGTTCCGAAGTCGGCGGCCTGGAAAAATCTTTGATGTCCCGCCTATGGCGCACAAGCTAGTATGTACTTTAGATATTACGTAAGTCAGAAAGACATGCTTTGAGAAATTGGATAAAAAAATCAAGCAATAAAACTTTCTGTCAAATTTTTTCTATTGGCCTTGCCATTATGATATAATCTAATGACTATGCTTTTAAATGTAAACATATGGGCATGGTATCATCTGAAGGCAATGACAAAAAGATAGTCGCAAGAAGACCTCTTCAAAAACCAGCAGCAGTCCGAACTTCCATTGAAAACTTTTCATATACATACTCTTTCCTGTAGACAAATAAAATCACCGTCAAATGAAACATAGCCGTCCAAAGAACACCAAAAAAACCCCAGACATCCAGACATCTATAATCTCACAAACAGCACGTCTCAACCCAATAAAACGTAAATCACTGTTGAGAGAGCCATTCAAGTCACATTTATAAAACAACTGAAAAATCAAGTTGGCCACGAGGCGAGAGAAAATGATCTTTTCGGCACATTACGAGGGTTTTTTGAAGCTCTGACAACTGGGCTTGATGAAGACGCATAACAGGGAGGTTGAAAGTTTTCCAAAAACTTTTAACAGCTCGGGGTTTGAGACGGTTTAGAAAAAACACTAAAGATAAACCTCTGTACAACGAAATACCGTACAACAAAGCTTGTGTATAACGAGCAATTTCAGAGGGCCCATGAGAAGTATTGACCAAAAAGGTCTCCGTAAAACGAAGCTTTTTTATAACAAATAAATTTTCTAGTCTCTGGCAGTTCACTGTACAGAGACTTGACTTCAAAAGGACAGATTTTGCTACAAAAATAAAAAAGAAATAAGACTAGAAAGATTGGCGCAGATCACAAGACGGCTGGCAACAAATGGACGAAAACAAAAAATCTTTTCGACTTCTTTGTATTCAAATTGCGGAATGTTTTCGAAAATATTTTGGACAGGGTCAGATGGGGTCAAAAAGTGATCTGATTTTTCTGGAAGAGCAGCAAATAAAAAATAAAAATTTACAAAATTTTTTAAACATGATGTTTGAGAATAGGATTTTAAGGACTTTTAGAGGTTTGTGGTACGGAAATTGAGTTAAAAGGTCAAAAATTTGAGTCCTTCCGGCAGCCGCTGAGGTGCTAAATGGGTTTGTTTTTGAGAGAACCCACGGAAAATGGCTAGCCGACCAGACCAATAACTTGCCAAGCTTTTTCCGTGAAGATTATGATCTTTATAGCATAGAAGTGCAAGATTGATTGATCCAGACATTTCAGAGCCACAAATTTTTTAAAAAGTTCAATATTTTGCGGATTCCGACAAAACAAATTTGGACTCTGGGAAGTGCTTGCTTGAAATAATACATAAATCATATAAAATCACGTCCTATGTGTGTGTGGAAGTCTACTAGACTTTCTACCATTTTTTTGTTAGTCCAACGTTAAAGTAGTACCTTGGAAAATTGCAACCAAAAAGTCTCGTATATTCAAGACTTTTAGGTTGCGCCATACTGCGACTACTAATATTTTTGGATCAACAATTTGCCATGCAGTCCTACTTTGTATAACAACCTCTTGCATAGCAACCAGCAGGCCCAGACTTGCGGGCAATCACTTTTCACGCAGCTAAATGAACCGCGGAGATTGTGCGGGCATGCTTGGGAATCAGTCTAGAGGTGGCAATCGGGCCGGGGTTTCCGGGTACATAAATGGCTTGAATAATTGCCATAAAGTTAACCAGGAATTTTTAGAGGTTCAAAACCCGTTTTTTGAAGACAAACTCTCACAAGTTTGAAAGCGGTCGATGAATTCAATAGATTCATGTACTTATTAGTACTAGGGAATTGGCAATGCAAAATTTCTATTATACTGCGCAGATCATGGTAGAAAAATCGTAATTTGTAAATGTCGGCTGCCTGTGAAGTGGTTGCCCGCAAGAGAAGCCAATTTTATGTCAAAATAAGCCTCCGTACAACAAAATTGATCTGGTTTGTTTTGTCGTTCTAAAACGTCTTTCTTTCAAACACTTTCGCCTATTACATAGGCTTTGCCAAAGCCCCATTACCGTAAAACTCCAACCTTCATTCCTCCAAAAAAGCAAACACACAAAACCCCGGGGCCCTGCAATCCTATCACTGTGCCAATTCCCGATCAGATGAAGGACTTTTGGGCCTCGTGATTAATCAACAGCTTAAGGGTCCTCCTAAATATACACTCTGGCCCCGAACAAATAATAGCTGAACCGGGGCCGAAGAGAATTCAACACAGGGCTCCGAAAACAAGTGGAAGAGGAGCACGTGTAACCAGCGGATTACCTCCAGCATTGAGTTGAGGAGCGAACCGGAGGAGGGTTCTGAGGAGGGTAATTGTGACAAATTGTTCCCGGAAACACAGTCTTTTCGATTCGAACAAGTGTCATGAAGCATGACAACTGATAAGGGATTTGCAACGAAAGAATGTCGAAAGAATAGGAAAGAATTGCGGGGATAAATCGCTAGGGAATGAGGACTTGTCCTTTTGAATAGTGTAAATAAAACGGAAGTGTCACAACAAAAAATTGAAGAAAAAATATATTTTATAAAACACAGTCAAAACTCTATACGCAAATCGCAAGGAAGCAAAAAATAGATTTTTTAGCCCAGGAATTTACTCTCCGGAGGTTTTTTTGGCCTATAATTGACTTACGGGCTTCTAAATTTGTTGGTAATATACAGGTTTATTTTACACGGGTTTTTATTTTGACGTCTGTTGTACAGAGAGAGCCAGGAAAATTGTTGATGACTTTTTGCGTCAGCATAGGAGAAATGATTTGTTTTTGATCATGACTAGCCGGAAAACGCCAAAAGATGTCAATTCTTATTTCACCACCTTCAAATCAAAAAATCCCGTAATTTCCTGAAAAGCGGGAGCTATGATTTTTTTCAGCTGGCACAGTATTCATAATTGCTGGATTAAGTCTGAGCCTAGTTTCGGCCGACTTTGTGCGGCATAACGTCAAAGATCTTCTAAACAACTTCAACTTTTCTTGCTGACCGACCTACGAAAATTGGCAACAAAAACGAGTAATTCGACAGCCCTTACCCATGTGATAAATATCTCAGTAGGATTCCCAGAACGATGTCACGCGCTTATAAGGAAATCCCATTTGACAAAACATGCGACAAAAGAATAAAATCCGCTCATCCATAAGCAAACGCTCGCACAAAACAAAGGAATATCCAATTATTTACCAGCAATGTGTTTAAGTCATAATACGATTACTGCGCATGCAAGATAGGCTAGTAAATATTTTTATGGCGCAATTCTGCATAGAAAAAATTTCCTCATTACCGTGCATTCATCCGACTATCCAGCTCCTTAAAAAACATGACTTAGGTTCGGCAGCATGTCCAAAGTTGAAGAAACCATAAAAAATATGTACAGTACGTGGTAGGTTCTACTAGACCGCCCACAAAGTTGTCGTATTGAAATCGGTGACATGAATTGCGAGAAAACAAAAGTTCATTTTGCACATGGCAATTTGGGGTGGTAATGATTTTTTTCTACTGCTCGCACCTGACTAGTGCAAACTCCAAAAAGCAACTGCAACTTTCAGGAGGACTAGTTAATTTTCTGATTCCACAGCCAACCGAAAGGAACAACAAACGACCGGGGCTCAGCCCACCGTTCAGTCATTATTCCGTTTCTTGATACAAGTGTACAGGTCCAGCTGGCATGCTTTATCTTGGGTCTGCCACCTTGAAGGCTTTCTTGAAGCTTATAAATAGCAACCATTCAATATTTCTTGCTACGACTGCAGAATGTAATCTTATCACAAAAAGAATCTCAATTTCCATGATATAAAGTCAACGTCAAGAGTAATGTTAAGGGTATTTATAACGGCCATTGTCTTGCTTGCTTATGTTACATATATTTCCGTCTGATCACATTCCGCTTGTCTCATAAACATCATTTCCGCCTCACCATGCACAACCCACCCTGACGTCCTGATCTTGTCCACTTTGGAGCATCTGGCAACGAGGCAAGTGCAATGAAACCCCATTAAGCCATAATCGAGAGCGGCGAAACAAAACTTTGAGGCAAACGATGATCGAGCCGTCTCCCTCCAACCTGCCCCAGAGGGCATTTGTTTTTTGCCGGCGTTTCATATTTTCATATTATGTCAGCTTTGCGGAGCATTGAGAGATCACGCTGAAGGTGGAGATGGGAAGTGGTGGCTTGTGTTTTGAGGTGATCTTATCGTGTGAAATTTCGCGGGAGATCCGTTATTATGTCTTCTCGGAAACGTTTGAGTTATTAGTTGTATGCTGGAGAGGTAGAAGGTGTTGGAATGTCAGAATGTGTTAGTTTTGCCTCGTTTATTGTATAAAATAGAGCATTTTTTATTTTTCGGATTCTCAAGTAAACCCTGCAATTTTAACGACCTCTACGTAAGCGAAATAGAGTAGGAAATGAAGAGAGAAAGGCGGAAAAATAAGTTCTTAGCTTCTATATTTGGTGATTTTATCTGAAAATGCAGTAGATTTGCTTGACGTACGAGATAATAGATATCATCAAATCTGCCACAAAACGCCTTAGAATTTTACATGAATCCATAAAAAGCGATGTCGCCTCAAAAGCACAAACTTAAAGTCTCAAAAATCCGACCGAAAAATTCGATCAAGACTCCGTCGGATTCCCACTCAAACATCTTTTGGGGTAAT